CTGGCTTCATGAGGCCAGAAGTCTCCTGATAACCTCATTAATAGAGGCCTTGAAGAACAAAGGTGTTTTTATGATCTGGTTGGCTGCCTTAAAAAAGTTCAAGAGTGATGTGGAATGACATAGTATCATTGATTATGTAGCTCAAGGGCGGCTTCCCACCCACAGCTTGAACTTCAGCTTCTGCGTACAGCTTCTATGAGTGCTCATAGCTGAAATTAAATAGGGTGACTCCTGGCTATGCTGATACCCAGAAAACTTATCTTCCACTTTGCAGTCCCCTTCCTCCCACAGCCCTTGCTGGAACCTGGGGATTTCTGTTCTCAGTGCCCAGCCTCCTTTTCTGTTGCAAATCTCTCCTTGTCACAAATGGAAAGAGTTCATGTATTTAAATGTACCATAAATACTGTGCAGGTCTCTTAGCAAGCAGAAAGTATTTGCAGTTTTTAAAAAATCTCAAATCAGCTGAAAACTATTCTTTTTTTTAATCAAATTTGGGGAATTAGGAAGAAAATTTAAAGAATAGTTTTGGACTTTTAGTATCATGATCAGTAATTTTTAAAAATTTTATTTAATGAATATAGATGATTTGTAAAGTAAGAATAAAAGCACTGGGCATATAATGCTTAAATATTTAGTTCTCTTTTCTTATGCAGGTAATAACCTCCACAGAATCCTGTAGACTTACTTCTTTAGTTTGAAATGTAGCATTACTGGGGAATGAACAAGAGGCCCTTGAGTTAACCTGAGGCAAATTTGAATCCCTGTTCCATTATTGCTGCCTTTGTGGCCTTAGGCAGGTTACTTAGTTTGAGCTCAGATTCCTGATCTGTAAAATGGGGAGGTGAAATGCGTATACTGAAGGGCTATTGTGAGGATTAACTCAGAATACTAAATCTTTCCATCATGCCTGGTGTAGTGGCATGAAAAAAAATCTCAGTACTCAGGAGGCTGAGGCAGGAATATGGCTTGCCAATTTGAGGCCACGGTGGGGTTCATAGTGCTTCAAGACCAGCCTAAACTATAGCAAGACCTTGTCTCAACAAACAAAACAAAGTAAAACCTCTCAGCATAAGCCTTGTTAGGTGGATTGCTAAGCAAGTGCTAGTTCATTGTTTATAGAAGAATTCATTAATCTGAAAACACTGTGGGCATGATGTATAATTATTGTTTTTTTTTTAGATTTTATTTTTTATTTTAGTGTAATACATTTAGATTTTAATAAACTATAAATGCACTCTTCTATAAAAAATAAAACAAATTGTATAACAATAATTAGAGAACAACAATAGTTATTTCACAGTATACCATAATTTTTTTTTTTTTTTTTTTGGCTTTTTGAGACAGGGTCTCACTATGTAGTTGAGAATGACCTGGCACTTACTATGTAGCCCAGGCTGGTCTCGAACTCACATTGATCCTCCTGCCTCGGCCTCCCAAGTGCTGGGTTACAGGCATGCACCACCACGCCTAGCTCAGTAAACCATAATCTTTAAAGAATGGCCAAAATGTTATTCAGAGTGTAAGTCATATACAGAAAAGATTCTTTTACAAAAAAGAAATAGATAACAGCTTTCTTTTTGGTGAACTAAAAGAAACTAGTAGTATAAATAAAACAAATTAGCATGTGCAGTGAAATATTTTTGAAACAATACAGAATCCTGGGATTATTTTAACTTACCCATATTTCCTATTTATCTTCTAATGTGCTCTTTATTTATATATGTATATATTTTGAGTTTCTAATAACAGAAACCATGCAATATTTGAACTTTTTTATCTGACTTATTTCACTTAATACTATGTTCTCAAGTTGCATCCATTTGTTATTGAATTTTAAACATGAGTTACTGTATGGATTTTATCAATGATGGGTTCATATTTATAGGTATAAGAATAAGCTGTTGTAGCACCTAAGCAAATATTCTTAGTTTTAAAATTTATTTACTAACTTGAATATAATACTCAAGAAAAACAGGTAAATTGGACATCATCAAAATTAGACTTTTGTGGTTCAGAGGACCCTACCAAGAGATTGAAAAGGCTACTGGTGGAATCACAGAAAATATTTTCAAATCATTTATCTGATAAGGGATTCATATCTAGAATATAGGAAGAATTACAACTCAACAACAGCAGCAAAGTTGATATAAAAAACATCCCAGGGGTTTGAAGAGATATGTCTCCAAAGGAGACACATCAGGGGCCAAAAGCATATAAAAGGATGCTTAAGATCACTAGTCATTAGGGAAATGCAAATTAAAGCCATAGTGAGATACCACCCATCTTCGTTAGGAAACACCAGTAAATGTTGCAGAGGATGTGGAAAAATTGGAACCCTTATGTATTGGAACTCACAGAAAGTGAAATATGCAGCCACCTCGGAAAACAACATGCTGTTTCTTAACAACAGCAACACGAAATTACCATGTAATTCAGCAAGTTCACTTCTGCCACCTTTGGATATATCTATACACAAAAGGACTGAAAGCAGAGACCTGAATGGATATGTGTACGGCGATGTTTATAGCATGATTGTTTATAAGAACCAAAAGGTGGATGCAGTTCAAGGGGCTATTGACAAATGAATAGGTAGATAAAATTACAGGCTATTAACCTTAAGAAGAAATGAAATTCTGTTACATGCTGCACTCTGAAGGGACATAAAAGACTATGCAGTTCAGCTTATGTGAGCTACAGAGAGTAGTCAAATTTGTGGAGAAAGAAAGTGGAATGACCGACTGTCAGAGTGTGTGTGAAGGGAAGAATGGGGAGTTATTTCTTAATGAATACATAGTTTTAGAAAAGATGAAAACGTTCTGGAAGGTAGTGATGGTTGTACAACAGTGTGGATGTACTTAATGCCAGTGAACACAGTGAAAAACTTAGCTGCAGGCATTTGTAAGCACCCTACTAAGATTTCAAGGAGAACAGCTTCCAACTCCATCAGCGTGACTTCAAGGAACCACTGTCAGGGGACAGTTGGCCTGCTTTTGAAGGCTGGATCATTTCCAGGGAGGCGTGAACTTGCTCATTCATTCCTGTGAGTGTCTGCAGAAAGGCACTGCCTTGCCTGCCTGCTGCTGGAGGTAAGGAATGTCAGTATAACAGCAGCATTTCCACCTCAGTCCATTGCAAAAGGGCTGTCTTATGAAATAGTATTGGTATTATAGGTTCTACGTTCAGAAGACGGAAGACCTGGTTAGATCCCGGACCTATCCCCTGCCCTCACCAACAAAATTCTAAAGGACAAAAATTGAAAAGACCTCCACTAAGCCAGGTGTGGTGGTGTATGCCTCTGAACTCTGGGAGGCTGAGACAGGAATATCTCAAGTTTGAGCTCAGCTTGGGCAATTTAGAGAGTCCCTGTCTCAAAATAAAAAACATTTTTAAAAGAGCTGGGAATATAGCTCAATGTGAAAGGTACTGGATTCAATCTGTAATAGCAAAAAATGAACTACACTATAGTAGAAAAAGATGAATTATCCAATATATTTATATAATTCAGAAAACACGGGACTATTTAAACTGAAAAGGAAACTTCAGAATCCAAGAATGAAACATAGAAGGTACACATGTGATTACATAAAAATTATGTGGTAAAAGAAGCCAATTAGCAAAGTCAAAAGTAGACTAAAATTATTTACTCTGCATGGCCATTGAAGGGTTAGTATCCCCTTTCCCAGACAACTGCAATTCCTTAAGAAAAATAAATCAACAACTTAATTAAAAAATGGAAAATCAGCAGAAGAGAAACTATACATGGATGACACACGTAGGAAAAGATGGCATGTGCTAGAAGTGGCCTGTGTAATATAAATGGTGCAGACTTTTAGAGTCCATGTTTTCATTGCCACACACAGTCACTGCTGGCGAGGACGTGGGTAAGTACGCATATTCAAACAGTGCTGTGGGCAGCATGAGTTTCTACCGTGTAGGGTGGCAACGTGGCAGTACCTTTTAACGTGTGAAGGGCACCTGTCCTTTGGCCCAACATTGTCACTTTTAGAAATCTATCCCCCACCCCGGTAAATATACAGGTATAGGCCTGTGCATTCCAGGATAGTGTGGCAAAAACCTGGAAATGATTGAATATTTATCAGCAGGGTAGTTAAGTAAATCGTTGCACATGTGTGTATAAGATATAATGAAAAGGATGTTAGATATCAGTGTATTACCTTGTGAGGAAAGATTATCGATAATTAAAAATAATGCAGATTGTTAAATAGTGTAATACAGGAAAAAAGATACAGTAGTGCTCTGTATTGTAATATTTATACTGTGTAAGAGAAAAATGTCGACAATCACACACCAGGCTGCATGTGTGCATTGTGTCCTCTGGGGTGAGAAGGCAGAGAGGGGACGATTATGCTTTTCATTTTCTATCTCTTTACCACTTTACCATTTTTATTTCTGATGTCAACATGTAATGGCACACGTTAGTCCTATAAGTTTAAAAAAACTCAAAGTTAAGAGAAAGTTAACTTGGATTTATATTTTACTTAGTACTCTAGCTTTATCCTGTTTTTCAGAATTGTGGCTTTTGTGGGAAGGGGAGGGGATAAAATGCCAGTTCTGTTGAACTTGGAGTTCCTTAATTTGTACCTAATTTTATTGAGTGACGACAATACGTTAATATTGCTGAACCTTTTTGTCAGAAGAGCTAGGTTGGAGCTATAAATGTATAGTTCTGGTGAAATGCTTAGAGTTAAGATAGGAAATAAAATGTTGGTTTTTAGCTGGGGATTTAGTTCAGTGGTGCTGCCTGCCTCACAAGTACAAGGTCCCGAGTTCAATCCCCAGTACCAAAGGAAAAAAGTACGTTTAGTGTCACATGAATAATGAGGTCATCTCTAGATTCTAAAATGGGATAAGGTTGTATTTCAGAACCTAGGTGCCTAATGTAAGTTACAAATACACCTGAGATTCTGTTACTTAGGTTAGTATTTTCTTTTATTCAGTCTGTAGCCACTAATGTGTTCCATTTCATTGCAGCAAAGTAAATGGTTGTGTTTCTCATTACACATTCCAAGTATACTCTTACTTCCTTTTCAGGGGACTATTTGGTAGCAATTGAAGAGAAAAACAAGGCTATGTTTCTACGCGCTTACGTGAACTGGAGAAGTAAAAGGGCGGAGAACTCTCGCGTGTGTATCCGAATGGTTGGGCATAATGTGGAGGTGCCCTTCAGGGAATCCTTCGGAGACCGGATGTCCATTGTTGAAATGCCCCTCTCTGAGCCCCCGTTGTGCATTTCCTGTTGCCCTGTGAAAGGAGACCTCCTTGTTGGCTGCACGAATAAGTTGGTCTTATTTAGTTTGACATACCAGGCCATTAATGAGGAATTCTCAATATTAGACTTTGAACGTTCTTTAATTATCCACATTGATAATATTACTCCTGTCGAAATTTCTTTTTGTGTTGGATATGTTGCTGTCATGTCAGATTTGGAAGTCTTAATCTTAAAACTGGAATCGGACTCTAAAAACGAAGAGAGAGTTAACCACCAACCATATAAGACCAGCAATCCAGTAAAACAGACAAATGAAGGTAAATGATGAACTTAACTTACCTTCTTATTTTAGTCATAGAGAAAATGGTCACCTTTGACTGTCTCTAAAGAACTCTAGTATGTGTGGTGCCGCACCATGGTATTTATAGATTGTTATGCTGATTACATCAAATTTGTGTTTATGACCTGGCTGTGCATCTGTTTTAATGTATACCATGTAAATGTATTTCTACATATACCTGTTAGTGTAAATAATGGAACAGAGCCATTGCTAGATGAGGGATTTCTAATCCGTGTTCTCACACTGATTAATTAGATGCCATTGGGTAACACCATCTCTGAATTTTCTTGTGTATGAAATGGGGGTGGTGATACATATTTTGTTGTACTTTATCAGTGATTGTGAGGAATAAATGTGCAAATGTACACCTTTTGAAAATTATAGTGCCTTGTAATTATATGAAATGTATACAGATAAAATTATAATATGCCTAATCGGTGAGAGAATATTGTGAAATCTACTTTTCATTCAAGAAGGTAATACTTGGGCTGGGCATAGTAGTGCACGCCTGTAATCCCAACACTAGGGAGGCTGAGGCAGGAGGATCACTGTGAGTTTGAGACCAGCCTGGGCTACATAGTGAGTTCCAGGTCAGTCTCAACTACATAGTGAGACCCTGTCTCAAAAAAAGACAAAAAAAAAAAAAGAAGGTAATACTTGAAGTTGTTATACCCTTAACTTTTTCTTTTTAAGGTTTCAATAATGAAACTTCACAAATTGAAACAGATGATTTTGTTATCTGCCAAAAGCCCATGGAGCTTCTTGGTGAAAAAAGTAAACAGTCTGGAGTATCTGTTACACTGGAATCTACGGGATTAGCTGATGACAAATTAAAATATTTCCACATCCAGCACCTGCTGTATAGGTATTAGCTTTTTACTCTCTAGTGTTTAGTATATCCACATCCAGCACCTGCTGTATAGGTATTAGCTTTTTACTCTCTAGTGTTTAGTACTTATGTGCCATTTAATGTACAGGAAAATTAGACGTTTTCCTCCTTATCTTTTTAAACCCACAGACGTTTTACTCCCGATATTTCCTTCTATGTCTCATCTGATGACATCAGGTTGCATTCCCTTCAGCTGCTACCCATTTACCAGACAGGTGAGTATGGCAGTGCTACAGTGTGGGGAGACGGTGGGTTCTGGGCTGGAGGGGAGAGCAGTGTAGGTTTTAGATTTGTTTTTTCTACTGAGTCTCCCTGTGGCCCTGGACAAGTTTCATAGCAAATACCTGTGAGCGCTAGAAAGGAAAATCAGGTCCGCTAGGAGAAGTGAAGTCATGGAGAGGGTGTGACAAAGTTCATTTTTTATTTTAAAATGGTTCCTAGGTCCAGAAAAGGAAATTAGAGCCCTATTAGAGCAGAGATTTACCTGTATTCCATCTGGGTATTTGACAGAGCTGCTGTGATGACCTCATGAGCAAGGTGGGAAATGTGGACTGAATACAAATTCATTTGGAACAGTGTTCTTCAGCCCTGCTGCACATTGGGTTTACTTGGGTACTTTAAAAAGTACTGATGCTCAGGCTCTGCATGCTGGACATTCTGACTCGGTCAGTTTTGGGGCCTGGCATCAATATTTTTTAGGTGCTCGCCAAGGATCTTACAGACTCCAAAACTGAAAATCAGCAGGAGGCTCTCTACATGCTTATGGCTTGCTTACCATCTTTAGATATTATCTAGAAAATGAAATAAGTATGACTCAAGTCAATGTCTTTATAGCTTTCACTTACTCTTTTCTCTTAGTGAAAATTTCCTGAGTATCTATGTTGAACCTTGTGCTGAATACTAAGGACACAGCAGTGAGCAAAAGGAGACAACACGTTTGCCCTCTGGAGTTAATTGTCT